TTTATTCAATGTCCTATAGTTTTCCAAGTACAGGTCTCATGCCTCCTTGGTTAAGCTTATTCCTAGGTACCTTATTTTTTGTTGTTGCAATAGTAAATGAGATTGTTTTCTTAATTTCTCTTTCTGAGAGTTCATTGTCTATGTATAAAAGTACCACAGATTTCTGGATATTAATTTCATATCCTGCTACTTTGGCAGCATTACAGAAATATAAAAGATTGTAAAAAAGATACTATGAACAATTAGATACCAATAAATTGGAAAACCTGGGAAAAACAGACAAATTTCTCGAAACATATAACAGACCAACACTGAGTCAGGAATAATCGGAAAACTTGAGCAATAACAAATAATGAAATTGAAGCAGTAATAAAAAACTCCCAGCAAACAAAAGTCCTATACCAGATGGCTTCACAGGCAAATATTCCCAGACTTTCAAAGAAGAACATCTATCCTCTTCAAACTATTCCATAAAATTCAAATGAAGGAAAGACTTTCAAGCTCTTTTTACAAAGTCAGCATTATCCTTTTCCCAAAACCAGATAAAGACACTACAAAGAAAGAAAATTATAGACCAATATCCCTGATAACATAGATGCTAAAATCTTCAACAAAATGTTAGCAGACCAGATCCAGCAATATATTAAAAATATCATACATCTTAACCAAGTACAATGTATTCCAGGGATTGAAGGTTGATACAATATCTGCAAATGAATAAATGTGATACATCACATAAACAAAATGAAAGATAAAAATTACATGGTCATATCAGTAGGTGCAGAAAAAGCATTAGATCAAATCTAGCACCCATTTATGATAACAACTCTCAGCAAAGTGGGAACAGAGAGATCATACCTCAATATAACAAAGACCATATATGAAAAACCTATAGCCAACATCATACTCAATGGGCAAAAACTAAAAGCATTTGCCTTGAGATCAGAAACAAGACAGGGTTGTTTGCTTTCACCACTCTTATTCAACATAGTACTAGAAGTCCTAGTCACAGCAATTAGATAAGAAGCAAAAGGCATGCAAATTGGAAAAGAGGAAGTAAAATTGTCATTTTTTGCATATGACATGATACTGTACATAGAAAACCCTGAAGACTCCATGAAAAAATCTACTAATAAATGAATTTGGCAAAGAATTGTTTGCATTGTTAATATTTTTTTTCAAGTTCAAGTCTATTTCTGGAGTTGTAAAATGACTTAGTCAAGGTGTTAGTGGCATTGGGGTTCTTTGGTTCCCCAAGATAGAAATTGAGAGGAAACCCCATAGAAGTTTCTAGGCAGATTTTATTAAGCTTATGCTCAAGCACAGAGAAAAGGACAGTCCTCTGAAATGGCTCAGGGTCTGGCTCTGCTTGGCTGTTTTTATAAGCTGGGGACAAACTGGGCTTGCCTGAAAAGGAGGGTATTTTGGAAAAGGCAGGCTTGCAGAATTTTCCATTTCAAGCTTGGGTGATGTCCTCTTCCAGCTCTGTTGTTTGGTCATTGGCTCCTGAGTTGTAGGAGCAAGATGGCCGACAAACCTTCGTCTACTGTGCATACCGGTCAGCAGTTGAAGCAGGCAGAAGGAAAATAAAATCAGCTACTTATGTGTTTTTGAGTAGGGAGTGAAGGGATAGTGATATTTGGGGATCCCGCATTCCTTTTAGCCATCTAGTGCCCTTGGGGTCCTGGGCAGAGGTCTCTATGCTGTCTCAAAGGCAAAAGCGCACACCCCCATAGAGTCAGATAAAACAGTACCTACAGGCTTCATTGAATGGACATCCAGTAATCTCTCCTGTCCATTTTCAAGTATGAAGTTTTTTCTTAAAGCATTGACTTCATCTCTAAGTATGGATAATGGGTTTTGAGATCAAGGGTCTGTTATGAGATATGCCTTTAATAACATTTATAAATATTCTTGACAGTGCATAATAAATGGTAGCTGCTGCTCTGGTTTTTAACTGTTTTGCCTTGGACTGGCAGGGGACTGTTTCCAGGAAGCTGCTTGGGAACTGAGCTCCACATTAGTTCCTGACTGTCTGTAACCTGACCAATTTGTGTTGTTTGTGTTCTGACTAACCTCAGCTTGGTCCCTGCTCTGCCCCTAGTCTACTCATAGGCCCCTCCCACCTTTTTTAAGAAGACAAGCTCAGTAGTGATGCCTGTTTCTTGTCTGTTGCACTCAGGAAGTGTTGTACATCTTTGTAAGTCCTTCCTATTGCAGATGAAGACTTTCTCATGTTTCTAAGTTTTTGCACCCTTTCCATATTCTTTCAAACAGGCCTATGTAAAATGTGGATTCCTTGGCATCAGTTGGACAGATGCTAGTGTGATTTGCTATTTTGAGGTTATTTCAGACTCTCCCCTCTTCTGTTAACTCTGGGGGAGGAGGTGGTAGATGGTGGGCTGGATATGTCCCTCATGTTCCCTGTAAAGCCACCACCATGAAGGTATTTGTGGTCAGCCCCCTGACTTCTAGATGTTAAGGTTTTGTGAAAATGCTCTGAAGTCCTGGCCAAGTAGCCCAGTTGGTTGGAGCATCGTCCCAATGCACCAAGGTTTCAGGTTTGATCCCCAGTCAGGGCACGTACAGGAATCAACCAGTGAATGTGTGAATGAGTGGTGCAACAAACCAGTGTTTCTCTCACTCCCCTTTTCTCTCCCTTTAAAATCAAGAAATAAAATTTAAAAAGGAAAAGAAAAGGCACTGAGTAGGCACTGAAAAGTCACTGAAGCCAGAGACCTCGGTTTTCTGTTATTTGGGTGCACCTAGGCTCTATTTCCACCCCGCTATGGTCTTTCCTTTCTGATCACCCAGTGCGCACCTGCTGGCCAGTTTTGGAAGACTGACTTAAGTTGCTGTACATTGTAAGCAAACCAAGCTTTTTGTCTGATATGATGTAGGGAGTGTTAAATATTAGACAAAAGGCCCAAAATGGAGTCATTTATGCTAAGCCCAGCTCACCAAACTAAGTCTTAATTACAGTTTGGCTCTCCCAGAAATGGAATCTTAAGCCAGTCAATCAAGAATCACCTACTAGGTCAGTAATCTGCTGATATACCCCTCCATCTCTTAAAAAGTTTATAAAAGTCTTTGATTTGGGGCAGTTCCTTGGAGCTTCTTTCTGTCGGCTAGATCAGATGCTGCCCAATTCAAACCAGTTTTTGCTTAAATAAACACTTAACATTTTAAATATTGCTTAGTTTATCTTTCAACAGCAGGAATTGGTGAAGTCAGTGTCAGAGATGAAAGGAGGAGGGCTCTGCTGATAAATTGCCATTGGGTACTATAATAAAACACAGCTTTGAAATTCAGTGGCTATGTTTCTGTAAAATCGGCACAGTACCTACCTTGCACCCAGGATGGCAAATTAATGTTCATAATAATTTTATAGCTCTCAGAAGTGGGCTCAAGAGGAATAAAAGATGGTATTAATAAGTTTTGTTCCATGCTGTGAGGTGAATGGGTATGTTCTTGAGATGTCTTCTGGATGTTTTGTGTGGTGTGATGGATGTGGGGAGGTAGAAGCAGTAGGGGATACAATACGGGGCTGGGAGGAAGTGGGGGCTGGTCTGAGGTCAGCTGAATGTTCCTGCACTTTCCTTAGACAGGGGTTCTTGGGCTTCTTCAGTCACCTTTGGGAGTTGCCCTTGCTTTGTTTACTCTGCTCAGCTAGGAGGAGGAAACACAGGGTGAGATCTCAACAGAATTTTAATCATCGTATGTGTGTGTGTGTGTGTGTGTGTGTGTGTGTGTGTGTGTGTGTGTGTGTGTTTAGTCTCAGGGACCCTTAGGCAAGCTCTGAAGTCTGTGGGTTTTTCAGGCAATCTCAGGTTAACAAATCCAGATCATTGCAGGCTTGACCCTAGAGAGAATATAAAGGTGCCTGCAGTTAGCAGCTGGTTCCCGCAGGTGCTGACTTGACTCAGATTAGGGTGTCTCTGTGCTTAGGGAAGGCTCAGGAGTTGTCAGCCCCTGTGGCTGCTCAACAGGTTTTACTGCCCTGCTCTTGTTTGTAAGAACAAAGCCCAGAGGAGAGGCTTGCCTGAATGCTGACCTCTTCTAGATTGGGGGGGAGGGTGTGGTGGGGGGGACAATGAGGGGGGGCGGCGGGGGAGGGGGATGGTGCTCAGGAGACAAAGGCCAACCACACTTTGTCTTTCAGGAGTGGTTGTGGTGCCAGTGTTTTGGCTCCAGAAAGCCTTCTCATTGGCCTGATATGGTCTTCATACACTCTGCTACCTTAGCACCAAGCTCGTGGAGGATTTTAAGCACAGGAATTAACTGTGGATTTCATAGTACTGATATCAAAACCTCACAAGATGCATCATACCCAGTGATTAAGACTTAAATTTTAATAAGACAGTGTTTTTCTTAAGACTTTTTAAAAAATCATGTTTTCCTGAGAGGTACAGTCCCCCAGATAAACAAATAAACCCACTCTAACAACCCTCTGGGGTCTACAAATGATTATATATTTTTACTAAACATAAAAGTTGAATTCTAGCTTTTCCCTGTAAAAGGCAGTATCACAAGGCAGTATAGAGAAGTAGTTAAGGCTGGGAAGCTAGACCACCTGGGGTCATATTCTAGTTCTGCCACTTGTTAGCTGTGTGACTATCCCATCACTGTACTTTACCTCTCTGTGCCTCAGTTTGCTCACCTGTAAAATGGATAAAATAGTTGTAACTTATCTTTAGGATATAAAGAGTTCATTTGTACACAGTTCTTTAAATGTTCCCAGGCACATAATAATAGCAAGTACTGGCATTGTTCTTTCTGTAATTAGTACTCACTTCCTTAGGCTTTGTAATGTCCCATTCTTGTGATGTGAGATGTTAAGTTCACCTACTTTTTCACCAAGAGTGGGGACACAGAATTAAAGACAGCCGTCAATTGGGGTAGTGTGTTCATTTTCTGTTGGAGTTGAGCAAATGTGTACATGACAGGAAGAATACAGTGAGGACAGTGAAAATCCAGCAACATGGCTTTTGTCTCCACAGCCGGAAGAGTGAAACAAGAGGACCTGAACCTCGTCTGTGTTCCCACTTCCTTCTGGGTATGTCTTGCTTTCCATTCTGTATCTTTGCAGTAGCTCAGGGTAGAGGTAGAAGGGGGACAGTTTCTAAATCAAATAATAAAAATGTGATAGTAACTAAGAAAAATTTTATAGAGAATGGCAAACATGCTGATCCTACTGGATCAAACCCGCACTAACGAACGAGGGCTTGATTTTTCTGTGTATACATTTGTCTGAGGGAGTCAAAAAACAACTCTTACAAATAAAGATGCTAATAAGGTATAAAACACTCATTTGAAAGGATATATGCTCCCCTATGTTCACTGCAGCATTATTTATTGTACAATAGCCAAGATTTGGAAGCAGCCCAAGTGCCCATTATTAGATGAGCGATGAAACAGCAGTGATACATTTACACAGTGGAATACTACTCAGCCATAAAGAGAAGGAAATCTTACCCTTTGTGGCAGCATGGATGAACCTGGTGAGTATTGTATAAGTAAAATAAGCCAGGCAGAGGAAGACAAGTAACCATATGATTTCACTTTTATGTGGAATCTAAAGAACAAAACTATAAATGATATAGATATACACTTATAGATACAGAAAACAGACTGACAGATGTCAGAAGGGAGAGCGGTTGGGGGGCTAAGTGAACAGTGAAGGAATTAAGCAAAGAAAAAACTCTCACAGATGCAGACTACAGCATGGTGATTACCAGGGGAAAGAGGTTGGGGGAAGGTAGAAGAGGGTAAAGGGGAGATAAATGGTGATGGAAGGAGACATGACTTGGGGTGATGGACACACAATACAGTATACAGAGGATGTATTACAGAATTGTACACCTGAAACCTGTATAATTATATTAACCAATGTCACCCCAATAAATTATATTAACCAATGTCACCCCAATAAATTCCACTTTTTTTAGAAAAGGAAGGACATTGTGATACACGCTACCACCTTGATGGGCCTTGAAGACACTATGCTCAGTGAAATGAGCCCATCACAAAAAGACAAATACTGTGTGATTCCACTCATAGGAGGTCCCTAGAGTCTTCAGTGTCATAGAGACAGGTAAGAGGGAAATCACGAGGGATGGGGCAGGGGCACAAGGAGTTGTTTAGTGGGGATAAAGTGTCAGCTGGAGAATATGGAAGCAGTGATGGAGATCATGGTGGTGTCGGCCACACAACAACATAAATGTGCTTAACACTGCTGAACTGTGCATTGAAAAATAGTTAAAATGGCAAGCTTCATTGCAAGTATTTTACTGTGATAAAAATATCCATAAAAGAAAAAGAAAAAGCAGGCCGGGCCTTACAAACAGAACTGGGGTGAGTTGTGCTCACGCTACCTGAACTCCTACTTTCATGAGGCCTCTGGACACGCAGCAATGAGAAGAGCCTGGGAACTGAGGCCTGTAGAGCAGTCCTAGACAAGCCTGGGTTCTCTTCTTTCTACCTTACAGGTACATTAAGAAAACCAAATGATGCCAGTGTGGGGAGTCACCATTGTGTGCAGGTGCAGAGAGTTGCATATCAGGCCCGCTGCTACCTTCTCACACATCTGAGGACAGCTGAGCAGGCCCACCTGATGCACAGCCACCTGCAGCTGACAGATGGGGACCCTGCATGGTGACCCCACCTGCCAGCGGTGCCAGCGTTGCCCATGAAAAAAGGGCCAAACAGCACTCAAAATGGTGGTTTATTTTCAACGTTTACATTAATAAACATTTTAACCCCAAACAACTAATTCCATATAATTTTTCTATCAAAAGAAAATTGTAGAATTTACCTTCTAAAGTAATAACTCCTAGTGCTGTGTTGGTGTGTGTCCACTGTAGGACACACATTAGAAGCAGATGGCATTGTTGCTCAAGGCTGTCAGTGTCTTTAACTTCATCTGAAGGTAGGGCCAAAGGTCTAAATTTAAGGTCTTGAGGTTACAATGAAAAAAGTCCCTCCCCAGGGCATGCACATAGACAAACACACTCACATTCATACACATTCATTAACAATCATTTATACACACCGACATTCACACATTCACAGTCACATCCATTTACACACCCATTTGTTGTGAGGGGCTGGGCTCAACGCCCATCACTGCCGTACCTGGCATCCCTGCACCTGTTAGTGGTCCCAGGGAATGTGTCCTTCTCACTCCCCAGATTTAGCCAATGTCAAGATCTCCTGCTTCTGAAACATTATCAACAGTTTGCTTGGGTTTCCTTAAACTTCTTCCTGGCATAGCCACTCCAGCTCAACCACAGCACACCAGTTGCCCCTCCCCCAGACTGGCAGGCCACTGTGTCAGATGATGAGCAGCATGACAGTTGCAAAATAAAAAAGGAGAAAGGGACAGAAAGTCATCAAACCCACATTTCATAGGATCATTAAGAGCTCTTAAGGAAATGCTGAGCTCTGTAGAATCTTCATGTCCCAACCTCTCCTTTATGGATAATTTTCTTTTTTTTCCTTTCTGTCATGTGAAATGCATCTTAGATGAGAAGAGAGAAAACAGCCCCAATCCTGCCACTGGCTGATGGGAGGGGATGCAGCCTGGTTCCCTCCTTGGGGACGTGCCCATGAGTGTTGAGGCAGCCCTAGCAGACTCCCTGTCTATCTCCTTTCATGCAAATTTACTAGGACAGGTCAGTGCTGTAGACTCAGATGTAGGACCACATTTCCAACACAGCACAAGGCATGGGCAGCATCACTGTAGCAAAGGCAGGCTGACACATTAGTGACAGTAGCAAGAAAGACAGGATACTTGCTAACATTTACCATGTGTCCAGTGTCATGGTATGGACTATCCATGAATTGACTTCATTTAAACCTCAAATAGTCTAGGTTGTAATTAGTTATTATCCCAATGGACAGATGCAGAAATTGAGGGTTAAATATCTCTCTCTAGAAAGGTCAAAAGTGGAGAGTGGAGCCTGACCTTTTCCCCTGGGGAAAGTAATAAATGCACATGTTTAACATACAAAATAGTGCAGAGGGCTGATTAGACAGGGAGAGAGATGGAAAGAAGGAGAGAGGTGGATGATGGGAAAAAGGGATGAAGGAGGGGAGGCAAGGAGAAGGGAGCAAGAAGAGAGGAGGTGAGGAGCCCACTCGCCCACCTCCCCACCTCTAGTCCTGCTTCTCAGAGGAACCCCTTCAGTTGGCTCTGAGGTCATATCTCCAGGGGTCACCTCCATACCTTTTGATTAACCTAACACACTTTGACCAGCTTCAGTGCTTTTCCTGCTGACAGGTAGGGAGGTGGATCACCCCAGCTCCCAGTACAGTCACATCAGAGTCTAGCATATTTGCAGGTATATCTACAACAACCATCGATTTGTAGCACTTTCCCCAAATGAGGGAGGTTCCCTTGATGCCCCACCATGCATGTGAAGGTGGCCACACGGTCACCCTCCTCTCCCCAACCTCTCCACTGCCGATGACAGACAATTCACCTTGTTAGGGTTGATAGTCCTTACACTCTCTGGTGCTTTGCATATAGAGTTCAGAAAGTTGAAAACCAATTAACCTGAATTAGCATAGCTAATCACTGTAACAGACACTTCTCAAAATGAAGAGTGGCACAAACAATCATTTGTTTCCCGTGTACCTGCTTGTGAAGGTAAGCAGGTTTGTGAGCAGCCACACAGGACCCCAGATACAAGGCTCTGCCTCCCTGGCCCTGTGAGTTCCACAGCCATCCTCAGTCATCCCATTTGAGCCACTGCCTGGAGGACCCCTGCAAGGTCCCGGCATGGGTTGTGGCACCTGGTCACATGACCCCCCAGGTGGGAAGTCCCCTGGCTGGCCAACCTCCTGAAGCTCATGACACCCATACCCCTGTATCAGGGGACCGAGTGCCTGACCTGCTTCTGGGTTGGACTTTTTCTACTCACAGGAGAGGTCCTAGTTCCAAACTCAGGAGTGTTTCTTTCTTACACTTTACCAAGTATTCAAACCAACCCTTGTTTTTCCCGAACCAGATTGGGCCGTGCATTTATTATGGAGTGTTTCCTTAGGGTTTCTAATTGCCTTTCCCTGTTGCAAGAGCAGAAATTCCAACTCTCGTCACATGCTCAGACCGTGCTCAGACTCACTCTGTTTCCTCCGTGGTAGGTGTGCTCTCATTCTGCCTCTGGTTAGACTAGCAGCCCCATAGCTGGACCATAACTGCTTGTCTCGCTTTGGAGCGGCTAGTGGTCTTCTTCCTTCATTCTCCACCTTTTGTGGCCCCCATTTCCCACCCTCTTAGATTTTATTACCAAGTCTATGGGCACAACCCCCCAGGAACATCTCTCCTAGGCCCACGAGTAGTGTGCTTCTGTGTAACTGGCTACACACCAGCCACCCAGATGTGCCCCGGCTCCATGGCATCGGACCTCTGGAACCTTGGATCCTGATGTTTCATCCTTTGCACAAAGCAACATGAAGCCAGTGTGATTGCAAGTGCCTCTCACAGGTAGCCCAGAAGGCGGCAACCAGAGACTAAATCCTATAGAGTGTCTATCATGTCCCTGTACTGTGAGAACACTTCTAGCAACTGTCCCTATGCTTCAGAGCTACTCAACAACAGAAGGCCACTTAGAGCTGTGGGTGGGTGAACACCTAAAATGATCTGAGTATCTTTAAAAAGATATTCAGGCACACCTGTATGTGTTTCACAGTCCACGTGCAGACACTCTCAGGGGAGAATAACCATATTCTACCCTGCTTACTGCATCTCACTTTCAAAGCTCTGGGCCTGATTTAATGTTTGCAGTGTCTCAGATATTTTGACAAGTGTTTCTCTATCACTTGTCTCATTTGCACCAAAGTACTATAGGCCTCTTCAGGGGGAATTGAACAGTTGACTCAACAGACTTCTGGAGTTCTTACATGTGCCTGGCACTGTCCTGGGTGCTGGAGAATCAGTGAAGCTGCTCTCTATCCAGACTGCACAGTGAATGCACATGATGAAAGTGCACAGAACTAAATATTCATGCACAAACGAGCAACAAGAGAACCAGGAAATCTGCCTAACATCATTGGTTCATGACAATGTTGATATCCTGGTTGTGAGATTTTTATGTTATTATTGAGGGAAACTAAGAGAAACTAAGAGAGTATAACCCTTTCTGTATTATTTCATACAAACAATGTGAATCTATAAGTATATTCAAAAATGTAAAAAAAAAAAAAGGAGCAGAGGACCCAGATTTTTTTTGCCTTGTCCCAGAGATTCTGTCCCAGGAGGGGTGGCTAGGGTTGGGCTGGGCGTAAGGAACTGCCTGGGGAACCTGGTGGTCAGTGGGTCCGAGGGCCACCACCCAGAGCACCAACCTCCACAGCTTTTGGCTCTTCCTCCAATCACAGGAGGTTCCAGTGCCTTTAATAAAGCTGATGTGTCTGGGTCACTTCTAATGTAATCACTAAGGTGAATGGCTTCTTCACCTTATCACCTGGTTTCTTAAAGGAGTCTCCAAACATTTTAACCATCTCAGAAGTGACCAGAAGGCAGTCTGGCACAGTGACCCTCTCGCTGCATCCAACCACATCTAACAAGTGACGCAGATGGGACTGGTATGCCATTCGCAGAAGGCTGCGTCAAGGTCCTGTTGGGAGCAGATTCACTTCTTGGCACCTTGGCTGGCACCTGGTGGCTGTTGCAGGCTCAGTGCCCATGAATGATCCTACTCAAGGACGTGCAATGATCAGAGGAAAGGCAGTTTAATCAGGGGGAATGTGTCCTTCCTAATTATTTGCAAATCACAACTTCAGAAGTGATACTCAGATACTCTGTCAAAGTTAAGGGATGATTACTAATTGTTCTCTATGCACTTGGCAGAGTGGTACTCAAAATTATGGTAATAATAATACCTTGTCTTCATATGCTCTCTCTTTCCAGAGATGGCTTCAGTTTGTCTTTCAGCAGGGCTGTGAGGAGGAAAATTTAATGCTGGTAGGTGAAATCAACATGCCCCATTTTTAGGGGGTTAAACAAAGATGAGAGACAGAAAGTGACTCATCAAAAGTCTGACACTCAGTGGTCAAGCCTGGGAGATTCTAATTGCTCACTGAAGACTCTGCCCTTTAGGGTATTTATGTTGAGTTGTCATTATGAACATTTCGGCATCGGAACCCAGTGAAGTGTACTTGCTCCTTGTGTCCCACAATGTTGGCCAGGGAGCCACACTACTTGTTCTTTCCACACAGATACTCAGGGACTCAGGGCTTCTCCAACGTGTGGCCCCATCAAGTGTCCTGGAGGCCTGCTGACCCTCTGCATTCAGTTGGCAATAAGCACAGAGCAACAGCATGCAGGATGGATGGATGGGTGGGTGGTATCAGGAAGGCCTGGGAGGAGCCACTCATGACTGTTCCCACCTCTGGCCAGACCTGAACTGCAAAGCAAGAGAGACTCGGAAATGCAGGACAGTCCAAACACCATGCATCTCAGAAGTCAGGAGAGCACACCCATCCTTTTGCCCCTGTATCTGTGCAGCCAACTCCATCCACCTTCAGGAAGAATATCCAGAGAAAAGAATGAAAGTATGTCATGACAACCAACATAGCCCTTCAAAGGATTATGAGAAAAGAAAACACTGTCCACTTATTTCTAAAGTAAGTTTACTTACTGTCCAGACCAACTTTCTTCCTTCCTGTTCTCCTTCTACAAAAAAACAACACATCATTCTGGAGCCACCTAGATGGGGCAGGTCCACGGCCAGCCATCCCCACATTGATGACAACCATGAACCCGGGACAGAATAGAAAAGGCTGGTAACTGTGGATTCTGGCAAGGAAGCATCAGCGAGGAGACCAGCACAGTGGTGACCTGACTGGTTTTCCCTCCTTAATACCAGCTTTTTCTTAAAGGCAGTGAGTCTCAGTACTGCTCCATGGGTGGGACGGGAACGACTCAGAGGACTGGACAAAGGGCTTGTTGGAGCCAGAGTGGGGGACTGCCAGGGTGCCAGGGACCCTTTTCTCTTCTCCTTTCCTGGTTCTGCTCCTACCCTGAAGCTGCAGCCATACTGGGGTGTAATCTCCTAAAATGCTGATGAAAAACCTGTCTCTGGCAAGAACCTGGGAAAACAGGTTCTTGTACTCCAAAGAATTTGGAAAAATCCTGCTTATTTTTCCCCTCTCTTTTTCTCTTGCCACTTTGTTTTGAAAGCCACCCAGTTATGGAAGCTGTAGTACAGTGGAGGGGAGAGGAATCTAAGATTCTGAGAGAAACCAGAGCTTCTAGCTGACAGACCTGGTGCAGGAGGAGACAGGAGCTGGGCCCGCACAGAACACACCCCAGAGGCCAGCACAGACTGAGCCAGAACTGTGGTCTGATCATAATGTTCCCACAGACTTAAACAGTGGTCCATCAACCTCTGCCATTAAGTGGTAGGAAGACAGACCATGAAACCCCATCCACTAAGGGCAACACATCGCTAGCTTCACCTGAAGTTTGAGGGAGAAAACAATTGAATTTGAATGGGCACAGAGGTCAAGCAGAAGAAAGCCAAAGCTCCAGAGCCCCAGCCTACAAACCCGCAAACCCTGGATTCTAGTTTTGAGAACAAATTTATTTGTGCAAATAAATCTATTTTTCTTTTGCATTTTCATTTTCTTTCTTATGATCCTATGTTAAAGACCAAATTTCTTGTCTGAAAGGTAAACATAAGCTAGTGAAGGACAGCTCTCAGCCCTCAGCATGGCTGGGGAAGGGAGATGCTAATTCACATAAAGTTCCAGAAAGGACACAGCTCAGCTGGACCTTAGCACCACCTTCTCCGTGGAAGACCAGGCTCAGTTCTGTGGGGCTGGTGCCATTAGCTAGGTGGGTCAAGTGCAGTCAGCCAGTGCCTGCTGATGTCCCACCAATCCTGGTTCACATGGTAAATGTGGAGATACTGGGACCAAATCCATGCCCCTGTGATACTATCCACGTGTGGCACCCTACTTTTCAGTCATGTGGGCTTCACTGAGCTCATCCAACATTCTGACGACTCAAGGGGAGATTCTGTTCCTGTCATCATTGTGGGGAGGCAACGGGTATGGGTAACAGGCTTCCTCAAGGAATGGCTCTATGAGTCCAAGGGAGGCGTGATACCTCCCTTTCCATGGCATGTGGGATGGTTTAGCACTGAGTCACACTCGGGTAGGAACTAATGCCTATGCACCTGTATGGTCCCTTCTCTGCCCTTATTCCCAGTAAGAATTTGCTGGGGGAGAGACCAGAACTTTCTGCCAGATTCCACTGTGTATGAGGCATTTATAGAGTATGGCATATGTAACCAGCTCATGGAAGCCTTCAACTCCTGAGGTTTGCTCACCTCTGCTCCCCCTCTGCGAGTTCCCTATTCCTTATGCATTGGGTCACTTCATGAGTAAAACCATTACTGGCCTAGGGGATAGGAAATGCCAGCCAAAATGACCTCAAAGTAAAAGAAAATTAATATGTACCCTGACTTGATGTGTCTTTAAAGTCAGCTCACCTCTGACTACACACAGGTCTCACTTGAGAACATTTTAATGTTACTTCTTAATAGCAATTTCTTTGACTTTATCACCATTAATCCTACCCACTATCAAATGACCAGAGAAATATAAACTGTCACAACCTTGGGGCACCTCTCTGATGATACTACAGTGGGAGCTGGAACATGATGAATTGTAGGGACAGCAGGAGGCAGCTGCCTTGAACTGGACAGCGGCAGGAGCGACGGACTGAGCATTTTTCATTAATAGAGTCTGCATCCTGCCCAGTGCCATCCCAACACCCTTTAAGCACAGTCACTTAATTTGTTGTTGCTGGGAGTTAAGCAGACTGCAGCTTAATTTGTGGTGTGAGGTCAGCTGAACTTCACTCTGTAATCTTCACTCTGCTCTGTGGATTCAGGTCTATTCTTCGGTTCCAAGGTAGTGATTTAGAATTTTTTTTTTAATCCTCATGTGAGGACACTTTTTCATTGCTTTTGGAGAGGATGGCAGGGAGAAAGAGAAAGAGAGAAACTTCAATGTGGAAGAAAAGCATTGATTGGTTGCCTCCCATGTGCACCCTGACCAAGAATCACTGCCGCAGTCTTTCAGTTACAGGACAGTGCTCCAACCAACTGAGCTGTCCCAGCCAGGGCTAGAATTCTTTCTTTTGTAACAAGAAAAAAATTAGTTTATCCAAAGAAGGAAAGATAAATAAACTAGAATTCTGTCTTACTTATAGAAGAGAGGACAAAGAATTGTCCGAAGGAAGAATTTGATTTATATGCCAAAACAATTTACATTATGTAGGGTGATGATTTTGTGGTTATAATTTTAAAAGTGAGTTAGCAAACCCTTTGCCTGCTGAAATGGCTATGGAATGCATGCTCAGCTACTAGAAATCTTTAGAGCATTCACTCGACTACCCTGCATGATCTCCAGATTTCAATAAATTAGAAAGCAGATGAACACACATAAAACTAAAATTTTATTGAAACTTATTTGCTTTTTCTGAGTCTTGGCCATGATAACTAATGTCAATTATCAATGTTTCTGCAGATGGGAGCAAGAGGTGCTAGGGTGAAATTCTAACTAAGGAAGATTGAATTCTGATGCATTTTTATTATGACGAAAGTAGTTGGGGTGAGTGTCTTCTTGGGTTGCTGTGATGGGTCAAGTCTCTGATGTCTTTCCATCTCCCACATCCACCCTTTCCTCTTCTGCTCTGTCCCTCTCTGATTTCCTGCAACCCCACCAATCCACACAGACTGGACGATTTCCTGTAAGTAGTACAACAGCCCCCTGGCTGGTCCTCTTTATCCCTTGCTGTCTGAACAGGTAAAAATGTCCCTCTAACCTATTCTCCTGTGCTTGGCATGCACACAGAAACCCTCTTGTGCCTTGATGATGGAGACCCAATCAGTTTTCTACACCTCTCTGGCTGCATCTTGAGATACCTCTGAGCAGAACCCCCTATTTCCTGCCCCAATATTTGCTTTTCCTGTTTCTGGCTCCAGACTTCCTCCAAATGTCACCATTTGCTTCTTTGCCAATCAACTTTATTCTCTTTTGAAAACCTTCATATTTCGCACCTATTTGAATTCTATGTTGGATTGAACCAGCTGTTCACCAGTGTCTGTATCATCTAGTGTCTAAGAAAAACTGGAGCCAGACAGTAAAGTGATAAAAACAGAGTTTACTCAGGAGTAAAAGTGGAGAAAAGAGACATCAGGAGAGAACCAAGCCCCACTTCCGAGCACAACGTGGGCAAGTGGGAACTTACAGGGAGGAGCAAGTGGGGTCGGTGGATGGAAAATCACTAAAGAAACATCGGGATTGAGGGAAATTGGGGTAAAGTGGGCCAGTAGGATGCTGCTGAAGGCAGGCTGGGGAGTCAGACATCACCTGGGGATGTTGGGGGTAAGGAACTCAATTAAATATGGAGGTTGGTCACATGTGGAGAATAGGGCAGTCCAGCTAAACCAACACAGCAGGATTCTTGCTAAAACTTGACAATGTAGAGATGAACACAGAAACCCCAAAGAGGAGGCCTTGTTGGAAAGTGGAGGGGAGCCTGCATAGATTCTGGTGAAGGAGAGAATTCCTGTCACTAGGCTGTGGGTTCCCTAAGGATGGAAACTACGTCACATTTTTCTGTACACATGCCCCAAGCCAAACACAGCAGCTAGCACTGGTGACTCCCACCATGCCTCCATGAGAGCAGGCTGTGACTTGCACCCCACTCACTGTCCCTGGCCCTAAGGCAGCTCCTCCCAGATGGGCACCAGACATAGGATGGGAGGCTGGCATGGCCGGGGCTGCAGGCACTTAGGGAACAGTGGCTGAGGTGAGGGAATGGCTGTGCTAACTCGTCACCACCTTGGTCAAGGAGAATAAAGCTAAGCCAATGGTGGGGAAAGCTGAAACCAGAAGGGAAAGGTGGGGAGGTGTCCCTTGTGGAAGGAGCCAGAGATTTTTTACTAGGCCATTAAAGGCCCAGAAAGCCGTGTCTAAATGCACCTGCAGTGGGCCTTCAGGAGCCTAAGCCAGTGTGTGCAGCTTCAAATACAAATCAACACTGACCCATCACAGCAGAAACCAGGAGAGAGCCCTCATCAGTTTACCTCAAAATGGATTCTACTTCTGCACTCGCATGCCACTTCATAGAAAGAAAATAGTTGTCCCTATGATTTGCAACACAAAGAGTTCCAGGTGGTTGTTCCACAGAAAGCCCTGGGTAATTACCAGCCTTCGTTAGAATAACCTGGACATTACTTGGTAACAACCCCACACCACAGGGGCTCCGCAGGCTCCAAAGGGTGTTCCCCACCACGGCCTTGACATGGTAATGAAGGCAGTCATCCAAGTAATGGTAACACAGCTGACTCTTGAAGAATGTGGGTTTGAACTTATGAATTTTTTTCAATAAATAACTGTTCTATTTTTTATTGCCTTTGGGAGTCTGCAGATATGGAAGGTGGACAGTCTGCATTGCTCTATGCTTTGTATAGATAGGGAACTTAGGCATTCATGGATTTTGGTATCTGAAGGGGATCCTGAAACCAATGCCCTGGAACCAGATACCAAGGGACAACCTAAGTTTGGGGGGAGTCAAAAATCACATAAAGATTTTTGATTTTGAGGGAGGTAAGCATCCCCAGCCCCGGTGCCATTCAAGGGTCAAATGTACTATCCTGGAAATAACTTGTCAAACAGTTACCATTTCTCGAGGTTCTGCCTTAGGCTGGACACTGTTCTCTTCTCATAAATTACAAAATTAAGCTTGATAACACCATTATATAAGTAGATACTATTATGCCTACTTTATAAATGAAGAAACTAAGGCACTTCTGAAGGTGAGTCATTTTCTTACAGGGACACTTAGAGTAGGTGGCAGATATAAAGCCCAAGCAGAGGTGTGACTCGGACCCCAGCTCTCGAAACAGTGGTGTTGAACTAAACTCCCACCATGACCCTGCAAGGTAGGCAGAGCAAATTTCATCCTCTGATGCCAAGGAAAATAGTTGCTCAGGGGAGTCACACAACAAGGACATGGAGAATCTGACCCAAAAACCCACTTCTCTTTCTATTCAGTTTTCTATCTCCTTCATGCCTGTGCCTCGTGTGGTGTGGGCTCTGGAACGCTTCTGTCCCGCAGAGGACCACAGTGAGGACTGTGCCTTTCTGACCTGGAATGTGTCTTATGCACAAGAAGGGAGGTTTAAAGATAAGGATGTTGCCAGATGGAAAAAGGGTGTCAAATGGAACATCTCCACTTTGAAGGCTAATCATCAGCTACTTTGGCCACTGGCTGGGAACAGTCTGAAGGACAGTTTCAAAGAGCTTGAGAGAAGGGTGGCTGGCTCAGCTGTCCCCACCACAGCTTGCTTCCAGGACATTCAGGGTGCATCACTATCTCTTGGCAGTGATTTAAGTGGCCAGGCTCCTGTCCAGATCCCAACAGATGCCTGCCTCACAGAACCTATGGTGGATTCCACCTGAATTGCAACAATACATCGTATTTTGAACTACAACATATTCTTGGCCCCATGTGATTTTTAAGCACTTTCAGTCCCTTCCCTTAATAAGAA